AAAAAAAACCCAACTGCCCCCACAAAGACCAGAACTGAGAAGACGGACCTGAGCAGCAGCAACTCTGAAGACAAAACCCTGGAGCTGGCTGACTGTGAGGTCACTGCTCAATGGCAGCTTTGGCAGTCTGACTTCTTCCATCCACCCCACCCATGGAGCAAGTGTTTGACAAGGGCTGGCACTTCAGTAGAGAGCATTCAGACAAGAGGCAAAATGAAGAGAGCCTCTCAAAGGTCTGAGGAAATCATCTACACTAGTGCCGTCCAACAGAAATACAATGTGAGCCACATTAAGAGGTGAGGTTAGAAAAAATAATACTTAAACTCAAGATAATACATTTCAACATGTAATCAATTAAAAAGTTAATGCCATGAAATTAAAAGATGCTTATTCCTTGGAAGGAAAGTTATGACCAACCTGCTGCTGCTGCTAAGTCACTTCAGTCGTGTCCGACCCTGTGCGATCCCACAGGCGGCAGCCCACCAAGCTCTCCCGTCCCTGGGATTCTCAAGGCAAGAACACTGGAGTGGGTTGCCATTTCCTTCTCCAATGTGTGAAAGTGAAGTCACTCAGTCGTGTCCAACTCATAGCGACCTGATGGACTGCAGCCTACCAGGCTCCTCCGTCCATGGGATTTTCCAGGCAAGAGTACTGGAGTGGGGTGCCACTGCCTTCTGCATATGACCAACCTAGACAGCATTTAAAAGCAGAGACATTACTTTGCCAATAAAGGTCCATCTAGTCAAAGCTATGGTTTTTCCAGTGGTCATGTATGGATGTGAGAGTTGGACTATAAAGAAAGCTGAGAGCCAGAGAATTGATACTTTTGAACTTTGTGTTGGAGAAGACTCTTTGAGAATCCCTTGAACTGCAAGGAGATCCAACCAGTCCATCCTGAAGGAGATCAGTCCTGGGTGTTCATTGGAAGGACTGATGCTGAAGTTGAAACTCCAATACTTTGGCCACCTGATGTGAAGAGCTGACTCATTGGAAAAGACCCTGATGCTGGGAAAGAACTGAGAGCAGGAGGAGAAGGGGATGACAGAGGATGAGATAGTCGGATGGCATCACCAACTTGATGGACATGGGTTTGGGTGGACTCCGGGAGTTGGTGATGGACAGCCAGGGAGGCCTGGCGTGCTGCGGTTCATGGGATTGCAAAGAGTTGGACATGACTGAGCGACTGAACTGAACTGAATGATATCTGTTAAGTACATTCTTTTTCCATATCATATCTTTGAAATCAGATGTATATTTTACACTTATAGCTCCTCTCAATTCACTTGTGCACAGCAACAAAAAGACGGGCAGGGGTAGTTCCAGAGAAGACGACTGTGGCCCCCCTATTCCTACAACTGGAGAATCCACCAGTGGAATGTGATGCCTCTGGAAAAACGGAGTCTCCCACTGCTGAAGGCGTCTAAGAAAGGGTAAGTGCCAATGCATGGGTATTAAACAGAACGGGATTTACACACCAGAGGGACAATCAATACTTCTATGAGAAAGGACCTCTTACTTCACAGAGAAGAGATGGTCTCAATCAGAAAACTAGGCTCCATAACGGCAAACCTCCAGCAAAAAGTAAAACAATGCAAGGAACACCAGATAAGACAAGTGGTAAATCACTGGGTAATTGGCCACAAATAGGATCAACAAAGCTGCGGCACACAAATCTGCCCTGTCTCACTTATTCTGTGTGGTGTTTATGGCTGGGTAGCAAGCTAACTGAAAACCATATACTCCATGTACCTTCAGGATGGCGGAGGTGGTACCTTCAAGAAAGGTCTGGTCTTTGCACTGGACTACTTCTGAATTCTCAGGAGATTTTAGGACTGCTTTGCTACTCATCACTTATGCTAATGAGGTAACTCGAGGTGAGCCACTACATATGTTAGACTAATGAGACAACTCAGGAAGAGGAGGCCAATGCCAACCATGTAATTATAGAGGACTGAGGCTTTCTGGAAAAACCTAGGTCTAGGGGAGGAAGGGATTCTATCAATCACACCTACATAATGAAATTTCAATAAAATCTTTGGACACTGAAACTCAGTTGAGCTTCCCGGGTGAACCATCAATGTGCCAGGAGGGTGATTCATTGGGAGAAAACAGGAAACTCTGTCTCTGAGACCTTCCCATACTTCACCCTCTGTGTCTCTCCATTTGGATGGTCCTGATTTGCATCCTTTACATTAAAATGGGAGTCATAAGGACAACTCTCTCCTGGGTTTTATGAGCTGTTCTATCAAATTATTGAACCTGAAGTGGGCCCAAAGGAATCCTCCAAATTTGTAGCTGGCTGACCCGAAGATTGGGTGGACTGGGGACCCCCAAACTTGCAGCTGGCATTTGTAATGAGGGCAATCTTGTGAACAGAAGAGTGAGTTGGTCATGGGAACCCTCGAATTTATACACAGTTGGGTCCGAAGTACAGGTGAGATAGGGACCCCCTAATTTGCAGTTGGCATCTACAAGGAGCACAATCTTACTGGGCTTTATACCCTTTACCTGTGGAGTCTATCCTAAGTGGTTAGTGGCAGAAGTGTATTATTTTAGAACAAAAGTATCTGGCAGAATTCTCAGTGGCTGCAAAATCTGAGCTCTTCCTTTCCTGCCAGAGGCCTATCAACACCTGCCCTTCCCAACTCTCACTTAGCACTCTCACTTCCTCCAAACCCTCAGGAAAAAAACGGCAAAGGGCCCTAAAACCAAAGTTGGCCTGCAGACATTTATTCCACTCAAGATGGGAAATTAATAAAAAGAAAGGAAGATGGCAGGAGATTAACAAAATAATCACAATGGAGTATTTTACCTTTGCTTAAAACAAGTCTCTCACTAATTGAGTGTTTCCTTATAATACAAAAGTACTAGTGTGGGGAGGAGAAGGCCTGTCATTGAAGAATCTATAACAAACACTGTAAAAATTCATTTTGTTTTTATGCACACATGCAATTATTTATCTTAGTACCTCTATTACCATAAAGTAATTTAAATGTTTGCAGAATGGTACTACAAGGCCTTTGGTTATGCCTCAAGCAATGAAAAGCCATGTGTCATTTAATATACATATATTATTATGTGTGGGGATGATGGGGGTGGAGGTCACTGAGAGGGGAGAGAGGTGAGAAAAAAGTCAGCAGTGAGCTGTGACAGGGAACATCCAACTCTGAACACTATTGGGCGCCTGGTTAGTTCAGAATGAAATAAAAAGTATGAGCATGGAAAAAGTTCCTAGAGTAAGCTCTCCAAAGCCATCAGGTCCATCTAGTGCTTCTTCCTGGGCATGAGGCTGTCCACTACACCAGTGAGCCCGAGTGGCACAGCCTTCATTCTAAGAGGGATGTAAGTTACTTAACTTCCCTAAATCTTAGTTTCCTTACCTGAGGAATGTACACTATTTGGATACATTGCATCCATACATGGTACAGAGTAGATGCTCAGCAAGTGTGAGTTCTGCTGGATGGAGAGGCTGAGGACTGTACAGCAAGTCCTTAAAAAGTGACCTTCCTCCAGCTGAAGAACAGACCAGGACTGCCCTGAAGGTTCAGCCTGCCACACCCTTTCAGATGCCCTTTCCCATGCCACTACAGCTGCCTGTTACCCCAGGCTGTGGGCTGGCAGTGTCCTTGCTTCCTATCTCACAGGCACCCTTTCTGAGATGCAGGCTACTTACAGGAGGCTAGCTTCCTGAAGACAATCTTTGTGTATTTGGACGTTATATCGTACGCAGTCATACAACTATTGTGAAAAGATTATGCTTAATGGAGCCACAAACTGCAAGCCTTCGGACCAAATGCCAGAATCATTAACTTAAATAGAAGACTGACCTACATATTTTGTACATAATTAATTCAGTTAAGGATAACGATCAATGTTCAAAGAAAACTAGATGTAAAATTAGTAACATGTTTAATGTGATAACTGATACTTTCCTTAGGCTATTTTACAGTATTAACCTGGCCTAATGTCACTATATATCCAAGTGTACAAGAAACACATTTTACATAAAAGGCTCATTTTCTGTTGTTATATAATGACCAACTTACCAAATGGTCTATAGAATATCTCCTCCAAATATTAGGTGTTTTACATTCGGGTTACAAAATTAAATAACTTGCCATATACTTACTGTGTGTCAAATTTTTGAAATATAGTAATAATGAATCAATTAAACAGTAAAATAATTTCAGTAATCAAAAGGTAGGAGGAGCTAGCCTAACTTATCTGGAAATTAAATAGCAACTTACTCTTTCTTCTTATCACCTTAACAAAGCAACACTAACATACAGATTTCTACTATTCAAACATATCTAATTAGTAGCATGTTAGGGTTGCTTCCTTCTTTAGGGCCAGGAGGTGGTGGCTGCGTCACAAGGCTTGTGGGGCCTTAGTTCCCCAACCAGGGATTGAACCCGTGCCGTTGGCAGTGAAGTGTAAAGTGTTAACCACTGCAAGGCCAGGGAGTTCCCTATTTCTTTAGTTTCCAAAAAGGGCGATGGAGCCAAGGCTGTTCTCAGGCAAAGGGTTAAGCACTTGACACACATCATCTCTTAAATCTCAAAATAATAACTAGATAGGCATCATTAGTATATTCTCATTCTATGGATAAGAAATGGAATTCATAGGGATTCAGTAACTTGCCAAGATGCAAGCCCAGGAGGTATGACTTCTAAACTCCAGCTTCTAGCCACTATTTTCTACAGTGTCTTCTGAGATTAAGCATGTCATGATCTATCTGTATCTGCATTAACACTAAGTGGAGATGTTAAGATTCCAGGAATAGGGACTATTTTTTTATTTAATCAGGTACATAATTAACGTAAACTTACCAAAATGGTAGTTTTGGATAGATGTTTAAGTAATTATGCAAAGGACTTTTGTCTTACACACACTGTAAATAACATGAGTCCCTAAATTCTTCAGCTGATTCAATAATATGGTTAAAAATCACCACATACCACCAAGTTACCCATAGTTAATAAAACGGCTAACACACTTACCTCAATTAATTTGTTGGCATGTTCACGGAAAACTTGGGCATATTCTTTAACTTCTTTCTCATTTCCATTCTTTGCAGCCTCAATCAATACTAAAAGTGGAACGTTGGTTTCCAGAAATGAATCTGAAACATGGTCCATGACAGCTTTGCGGAGCTAATAATTAAATTGTAAAAATTTGATTTTGTTTCTACCAAAAAGCTAGATTGCTTTCTTCTCTTGCACTTTTAAATCTAATGGAAATTCATGACAATTTGGCTGCACTTATATGAGAACCCCTCATGTAAGCCATGCAGTTATATAATCTGCAACACAGGAAATACAACTGCAGAGATGATAGCTTATACTACAGTTAAAGCATTTCAGCAACAGAATCTCAGTTTTCAAAATAAAACCCTTTTTTCTTGGGAATTACAAAACTAAAGCTTCTATCTTAAAGGAGTAATTAAAAAACAAAACAAAACAAAACAAAACCTCAACAGAAATGAGCTCTAGATTGAATTAGCACATAGCCCTGGAATATAACTGGCCTAATTGGCTAAATAAAAATGAGAAGGGAGAGGGTGTTAGCACTTTCTGAATAGGGTTAGCATACTATGAACCCTAAAACTGAAAAGTTACCTTTATAACCATTTGTGGTATTACTTTACCAAAACGATGATGGGTAGCTACATTCCATCTTTAATTTTGCTTTATATCAGACATGAACAATAAAATATTTCTCCACTAAGTCTGGAAATCGTTTGTATTACAACTTCTTTTTAAGTCTTAATGTTGCTTTACAAATTCAATCCTATCTTTTTTTTAAAGGCTAACACTCAATTTGCTCCCAAAATGTTCATGAGATTCTTTAACATTAAATGAAGAGAAAGATGTCTGTACTTACAAACTCAGAAAACTGAGAGGCCCAAATAACTCTATACTCAGCATATCTGTACTAGAAACACATCTTCACCAAGAATCAAAATCAGAAAGGGGCAAGTCAAATATGTAATTTCTATCTCTACTTGTTTGTAAGTTAACATCACAAGATCTTTCAGGGTATTTTCTGAGGTCCCCAAGTCATTTTAAATACCAAGAACTTGGGGAAGCAATCAGCACTTCTCTCAGCTTACCTGCCTACGCAGGTCTCTGGTCTTCTTGGTCATCTTATCTATTGCAGAATTGAGTGCATCACTTCTTTCTTTACGTCCAGCCTGGAAAACAAGGCAAGAGATGCATATTACATAATTTATAAGAAAATTTAATGGTAGTCAATAACTAAGTTCAAATCAACATTGAAAAATCAATTTTTTTAAGCCCCAAGTTGGGATATAGTGAGGAGAGCACCACATGGCTTTGTTCATAAAAACCTAATTTTACAACTCTCAGGCTCCATATTATTTCATGATGGAAACTGAGGGAGTTTTGCCAAAACAAGAGAAGCCAAAAGGCAAGACTTTCACTTAAAGTTCTGCTGGAAAAATTAAATGTATATTTTAATTGAAGGTTCAGCATACAACAATTTCATTAATGAACCAGTTCTCCTTGAACTGCAGGCAAAAAAAAGGTAATATCCGATTTTGATGAACTCTAAGATATGAGGAACACCAAAATGTGAAAGATGGCACCTGGCACTAAAACAATGTGACACAATAAGTTTTAAAACAAAGATGCATCATGATGGATAGGAGTTAATAATGTATTTTATACAGCTCAAATAAAAGAGCGCTTTATAAGATTACTTCAGTTAATACTGTTTATCATATAGGCCAAATAAGAACGCTTTGTAAGATTATTTAAAATGTCTAGGTTAAGCTTAATGCCATTGTATTGCATAGAAAAGAACATATTGGCCCCTCTGAGAGAGGTATATAAACCAGCATTTCTTAAGAGGGCAGGGGGTTGAGCGGACATTTGCCTTGGGGGGCATTCTAAGCAGAATCAAAATTGATGGTAGTTTTAAGAAAAGGGACAAAGGTAGTTACCCCAGGTAGAGCTAGCTAGCCATGTGCTTAGAAATACCTTGTAAGACATCAGGTTAAACTATGAAATATATTAAAAGCTTTTCCTTACAAAATGCCCAGTCAACAAATGTGGCTCATTCTGCAAAGCATGTAGTAATTACAGAAGAGATACAAATGGACAAAGGAACTTAACCCAGTGTTCCTCTAGCCATAGGTGCCCTCAAGGCATTCTGATATAGATAATCTACCTAAGTCAGTATAGAAGGTGAAGAGCCAAGAAGATGTAGTTACACACTTTCTGAGTGCCTTTTAACATCTGTTACTCAGTTTCTCTCTTATCTCCCATCTGTTGAGTGTGTACAATGATACTTGCCCCTCTGCCTTCATCTCTGGACTATTAGGAAAAAAGAGAAGGAATATTTAAGGATATAGGTTATGCAGCAAAAGAGAGGAGGAGACAAAACATTAAAAGTTGAAATACAACCAAAACATTGATATGGTCCCTATCAAATCTAGTCAGGGTCACATTCCAAATCTTTTCTCCACCTGGACTGTCAATAAAATTAAGTAATTCACTAATATTAATGGGCTTAAGAAAAAAAATCTCAACATAAACTGAGGAAGTATGAGAATTTCTTCTACCTATAAGAATGAACTGTGGTTTATTCATGAGCATCAGTCAGAAAAGAATGTGACAAGAATAATTAGTTACTGACAACCTCAAAGATCAAAATACAAGGATCTAAGGCAAAGGTGGCTAAAATTAAAAAAAAAAAAAAAAATCAAACTGACCTCATAATTAATGCTTAAATCAGGAAAAGCTCAGCACATTTCTCAGAAACCCAAGTACTCACTCAGAAGTAAACCTAGTACAATCTGTCATTATATCTAGCTATGTTGCGGGGGGGGGGGGGAGTGGTGTTTCTCACAGAGCATTTATTTCAGAAAACATGTTATCTGAAACTCAAAGGTTGAATTCAACGCCCTCATGAGCACCTAATTACTTGCAACCAGAAATGTCCTCAATTTAGGTAGAAGGATTTACTTAGAAAGTTATATAAAAGCAAATTCTTAAACTTGACTTTTGAGGGAATTGCATTCACACAGCAAAATTCACTTTAAGATGCAACACACATGAATCTGTTAATCCTTTGTCATACTATCCTAAAAATTAATTTGTCTTTCTTGTTACTTTAGGAAATAGAGGTTTATGCCTCATTTCTCTGGGGGCAGGGAGAGGCAGTTCAGAAGCAGTTATTTACTGACTTTTTAGGTTATGCTAGATAGATCATCTTTTAAATCAAAGCATCCTTTTAAAAAGAAAAAAAAAAAAAAAGAACCAGTCCAAACAGCAAATTTATAGTTCCAATTATTTAAAATATAATAGAGGTGAGTATACACACTTACAAACTTAAGCTTGACAAAAGTAGAAAGCTTGCTGACCTGTAAAATAACATCTTCTCTTTGAGATTAAAGCTGTTATGATCTTTTGTTAATAGTTTTGGCTAGGCCAAAGTAAAGTTGCCCAATGAATTTAAGTAAATTCTTGGCTCCCACTGTTTATAATAGCCAGGACATGGAAGCAACCTAGATGCCCATCAGCAGACGAATGGATGAGGAAGCTGTGGTACATATACACCATGGAATATTACTCAGCCATTAAAAAGAATTCATTTGAATCAGTTCTAATGAGATGGATGAAACTGGAGCCCATTATACAGAGTGAAGTAAGCCAGAAAGATAAAGACCATTACAGTATACTAACACATATATATGGAATTTAGAAAGATGGTAACGATAACCCTATATGCAAAACAGAAAAAGAGACTCCGATGTATAGAACAGACTTGTGGACTCTGGGAGAAGGCGAGGGTGGGATGTTTCAAGAGAACAGCATCGAAACACGTATATTATCTAGGGTGAAACAGATCACCAGCCCAGGTTGGATGCATGAGACAAGTGCTCGGGCCTGGTGCACTGGGAAGACCCAGAGGGATCGGGTGGAGAGGGAGGTGGGAGGGGGGACCGGGATGGGGAATACATGTAAATCCATGGCTAATTCATTTCAATGTATGACAAAACCCACTGCAATGATGTGAAGTAATTAGCCTCCAACTAATAAAAATAAATGAAAAAAAATTAAAAAAAAAAAAATTCTTGGCTCCCACCTAATTGAGAGACTATCCCACTAAGCACAGAGACCACCTAGGCTCACTCAGTTTTGATATGTATGCCCCTGCTAAGCAGTGACAAAGGCATTCTAAGAAAAAGATAAGGCGTGTTTGGGGTTTCAACATAAATCTCAACAAGTAAACATCAGATGAGAGGCAAAGGTTATTAGCTGCGACTGCCTCTAGGCAACTCGGTTTTGGCTGAGACAGTAAAAGGGCTTTCAAAATTTTCAAGAGAAGCATAAGGAAGCCACTTTACCTTCCTCCTGCTTCTATTTCTTTAGATATTCTTTAGTGAGTACTCTGCATCCACGGGAGTAGGCAGGACTAACGGTAATTCTTTCTCAGAAGGTTTCTAATCCGAGATAAAATAATTAAGAGCAACTCCTAATTCAGCAAGACCCTGTATTGTGCTGGGCCTGACAGGAGTTCTGAATGACATTAACAGTGGGTCAGAGCAGTACGTAAAAGTCATACAGGAAGTTACATTTAAGTTTGGCATTGATTTTTTTTTTTTTAAGTATTAACTAGAATTTTCTGGAGGAATTTACCCATTTTGGTGGTGACTTCTGAGTGAACAAGCTTTTTTTTTCCTTTCAAAGAACTGTCTCCTGCCTCAGAAACAATAAGCATTCTCTTAAAACAAATCTACAAGTCTCAACCATTCAAGATGATACTGAAGGAGGAAACAGAACAGGCTCTATCTTGAAAGCAGGATTGCATCTTGGGCCGGACTGTGGACTTTGAGCTATATGCCCAGTATCTATGGAAACAACATACCAACTGGAAAACCAGGCCCCTGGAAGGAAGAGCCCCAAAGCTCTCCATTGCCTGAAAGAATACCTTAATTATATGTGTGACCAAATAGAATCATCCATTCTATTATGCTTATTGGGGTATGACCACAAGCCTATTGATAACTGTCCACTGTTAACTACCTAGGCGTAAGACATATGAATTGTGGGTTAACTTTGATTGTATCTTTCTTTTTCCTTTGTTCAGACTAGTTTCAGGGAAGCTTATACACTTGGGGTATATGAAGTTTTCATAAAGACTGGTCGGGGTCCTTGGCTAAGAGGAGACTCTGCCTTGGGCCCGCCAGTGTAATAAACTGCACTCCACTATTTGCATTGTCCTTCTGAGTGAGTTTGTTTCCCGGAACCTGTAGCTAGAACAGTACCAGGCATCAGCACTGTGTCTGGCACATAGGTCCACCAATTCCTTGCCCATATCCTACCATCTCTCCATTCCGTAACTTCATTCTAACTCTTCCCAGTTGGAAAGGGATGAAATATGTCCCTCGCACTGCAGGTGGCATCTCAAGGCACATTATTCCCTAGATGCAATGTGACAAAGGTTCCCAGGTAAACGCCCCAAAAGTAACAGCACAAAATAAACACAGAGCTTCCAGGGGAAAACACAAAGTGAAAACTTCCACAATACTTCCAGGGTGAAAAGTACACTAATCTGAAGATTCTATATGGTCCATTCAGAGCTCTTCTGTGAGAGGCTTCCTTCTCCTAATTCTGCACACTCACCCTGCCAGAGCCAGGCCACTCCCGTCACTTCACTGCCTCTGGTCACTCAGATATGATCCATCCACACACATTTAAATTCTTCAGACATGCCAAGCTCTTTATCACCTACCTGGAATACTCTTCCCCTCCTTCTTCTAACTCCTACCCATCCTTTAGATGAGGTATCACATTTCCTTGTAGAAGTTCCCTGTGGCCACCTCCAACCCTAAGTTTCATTTAGGTGTCCCTCTGGGGTGCTTCTACAGCACCTCATGTTTCCCCTCATAGCCATTCTCAAATCATACCCCGGGACACCTGCCGACATAACAAGATGAGAAACCAGGGACCACAGACGTGCTTCAAGTCACAGGACTTAGTGTGTCATCTACATGGCAAGTTATCCGTCCCTGCTTTCCTGTTATCAGTGAAAATGTAACGCTTTTCATATAACCTCAGATACTGTCTACCAAATACTTTCTATATTTAATCTAGAGTAAGGCTGGAAGAGAATACCAGCGGAGGGTAAAATCCAATTTAAGGACTATTTAAAAGGGAACATTTA